CCCCAAAACCCCAAAACCCCAAAACCCCTTTTTTAAGAATCCAAATAGAATGTTATTCATAAATCTGCTTTTTGATTCCATTCTCGAAATACTTATCTCTTTCATACTTAAATTGGAGAATGGGGTATGAGAACATAGAGTCTTCATGGAATTTCATAAGCATAGAATGGATCTCATCCAGTCTTTCTAGGTCAAACTCCTCTTTCTTTGCAACTAAGTGGTTTAAAATAGGATAATAGCACTTAGCATCAACTTTGGATATGTTAAAGCTATACATGGTTAAGACAAGTTCGAGTGCTGATACATCTTCTGAGTTAGTAATCTCTGAGGTGAATATCTCGACTATCCTGTTTGTGCACACATTTTTCATTTCTTCTGATCCTTCAGACAGCTGTCCGTATCTGAGGAGTAAAGTTGCGACATTGTGAAGCTTAATTTTAGGCATTATTTCTTGTATGTGAGATTCTAGCTTAGGGAGTATTTCAAATTTAGAATCAATTTCAGGGTTAAGAAACCCAATTAATGTGCTAACCACACTTCCATCGCTCATATCTTTGATTTGGTCTGAAAGAGCATGATCAAGGTACTGGTAAATGTCATCATCGTTGTATCCTGTCTCTCCATAGATCCTTGCTATTGAAGCGAGGTCCTTCAGCTCAAAATCTGTGGCTATATAAAGTGTCAACACAATTGTATTTACAGAAACTTACTCTTAATCTTTTCTACAAATGCTTTGAACAGTCTTCTGATATGGTAAGGAGCTTTTGAGAATAAATTCAAGATCATCAGAACCTGGAAATCTTGAACCTTCCTCATATTCCTTCCAATTGTGATATCAAAGGTTGTCCAGATCTCCTCTGAAGAGTCATAAAGAATGTATGTTTGCATTAAAGAAAGTCACTCTTCAACAGTGAGCCTTCTCCGAATCTTCATTATTCTTTTCTCTGCATGATTAGCAAGCTTAGTATCGTCACAAAAGACTAGATAAGTTGAAACTACTGTACTAAGTTGTTCAGGAGTAAATTCTTCTAGTTTGCTCATAGCAAAATCTCTGGCATCCTCCAGGAATATTTTGTAGGGTAATTCAAATTCTGAAATAACTGTACAAAGGAGGACGAATTCATCAAGAGGCATATCATAGACTTCTCCAGCTAATCAGATATCAAATAGACGTTCTTCTAATGCTTCTACGAATTTATCATCATGAAGCTGGCAAGATCAGATTAAGGAGGATGCCACTGGGATATCTTTCAATTGCATTTTGGAAATCCTTCTCTTAAGTTCTTGTGCAGCCTCAATTCAAATCTCTTGTGACAATCTATTATTATTGTTCAAGCTTTCTAAAATATCAAGGATGGTCTCTGTAGAGCTTCCTGGAAGATTTAAGCTCATTGAATCTAGTTTAGACAGGGTTTCATCACAGGGATCATATTTCTCTGAGAAAAATCTAAGATAAACTAAAGCCTCAGCCCCTGAAGTAATTTCATGAATCTTTTCCAGTGCTGCTGAAGCAATCTGGTCAAAAGATGACTTGTAGGATTCTAGTTCCTCTGGTTTGGCATTAACACAGATAATTTTATCCATTATGGTGACAATCTCTTGAACGTTTAGGCTCTTGCTCTTACTGCTGAATTGGCTCATTATTTCGGATATCTCACTCCGAGAGTCAATACCTGTCGATAAATAGTATTTATTCATAGAAGAGAATATTATCTGGCTATCCCGAAATCAGCTTGTTACATTTTTATTCAGAAGACTGATTTTATGAAAACGCCGACTAACCCTATGAGGCATGGCTGTAATTCCTTGAGGAAGGGCAGTCTTTCTAGTGAAAACTCTTTTTATACATCCTCTTGAAGAACCAAATGCTCGAGAAAGCATGTTTACGGCTTAAAAATTATTTATATTTCTCTTATAAATCCGGGGTTTTGGGGTTTTGGGGTTTTGGGG